AAATCGATATATTCAATATTGATTTTCAGCTACTTTTTGCTGGGATTGCACATGCAAAACATCCTTAATCAAAGCGATATAAAATTTATGAATCTTGCCTCATATGTCGTGCTAATTATAAATAACCGATTGGAATGTGGACACTTTAATTTTAATATTATTGCGACAAATTTCTCGATACCGCGCTCACTGTTTAATCTCGACATTTACGACGACGGAGAGGTCGAAAAGTTTCGCACGTAGCGCAATGTCAGTCGGGTAACGACGTCGTTTGCGCGCGTTCGATCGGATAGCTTACTCGGCATCTTGCTTACAAGACACGTAGCATCGGCAGGGGTTATCGAAAATTTAATAACGTTCGAATTAATAATGCTGGTGTTGGTGCACGCGACGAGAGGCGCGGCTGCGGGAGACGAAATGCCGCAACGCGCTTCGTCGGAAGAGCAATCGGGCTAATAACGCACCGGTTGGAGCGGACGGATAAATTAAATTAATCATGCATCGCCGAAGTCGGGGGGCGTCAGATTCGATCGTGCATTGACCGGACAAACCGCGCGAAATCTCTCCTTCGTCCGGGCACAGCTGACCTAATATCAAGATTCTTGCCATCGACGGTATTTGTATCGATTGAGGGAGAATTTCTATTTTGATATTTAATTCACTTTAGGTCTGATTAAATTAGAAAATTAATTTAAAAATATTGATTTTCCGCTATAATCACGTTTGAGCCGCGCTTGTTTTTACTCAACGTCACTCGCATATGTCAATTTTCCTAACGATATTAAATATTATGCGTAACACGCGAAGTTCGTGCATGAAAATAATTGAATTATTGAAAATGTAGTCGTGCTATATTTTCATAAAATAATTTTGTAAATTAATTTTTTTTATTCTATAACAATCGTATATTCTAAAGCTTTTAAAATTCGAACTTGTAGTTGGATAAGATAGAGTACTTTGACATGCTTACTTATTTCTAAACGCTGTAAATCATCGGGGAGTCATGTGGGCGATAGTTGGCGAAAAAGATATTCCGCTGGTCATTAACGTCCGAGCAGGAACTTCCTCATCCGGCAGTTGTTATCGCCATTTAGAGGTTCGCTTCTGCTATTTTCGTGAATGCGCTATTATGCTCACTGTGAGAATATAACATTTAAGCGGTGCTTAAGCATTTCTCTTGCATCAATTTCAACTTCGATCATAACTTGTTTAAGTTGGCGCATATAGATTTCTCGCGGTGAAGACCACCGATATAAATTTCAGAACAACAGAAATATTAAATTACCTAAGAAATATTAAATCACCTATTAAATTATCTAAGAGAATGAAAATAAATGAAATAATAAGAATAAATAACGAATATATAAATACATTGAATCGAAAAAATTAAATAATTCATGAGAATCTTAATGAATTAATGAATCTCAATTTCACAAAAATAATACTTTTGACATGACTAAAAACAAACATGTCACGAACCGCATAAAAATAAAATTACAAAATTATTATTCTAGATTAGACTCTCTTTATAATTAACGATGGATTAAAAATGGAATATAAAACGCAATTAAGAAATGATGAAAAATTAATGGCTTATAAATGACTCCAAAAATACGTCAGTAAAGATCAATATTCATTATCCAAATAAAATAAAGTTTCGCCCAGAACTTGTGAGAGGAAAATAAAACTGAAATCAAAAGCCGTCTGAAAAGTGAACTAATTAAAAAAAAATTAGGAAACGTGATAGTCAGCGAATATTAACTTTATTTTTTTTCTGTACGGCTGCAAAAAATAATATGATTACAAATTCAAAAATTACACATCATACGCAGCAATATTATAAAGTATTCAATTATTATATAGTTATGAATTAAAAAGGTCTCTGACTAGTTAAGAGTTATTCAATTTTATTATTTTCCTTTACTCTTTTTTTTTTGTTAATTTATATTTTATATTTCTCGCTAATTTGAAAGCTGTACATTGTATATTTTAATATTTCTCGCTAATTTGAAAGCTGTACATTTTTCTAATAAAGAGTTAATAACATTCCATGAAAAAATTTAGATTTTAAATTACAGTTGAAAGCGTATGACGAGTATGGTTTTATTCAGCAAACGAATGGGCCAACTTCAACCGGCCATTTATTAGTGCATCTGATAGCACTCGACGAAAAGGGAAAAAGCAATTTCACGCGATACGAATGTAGGCTGCGAAAATGAATGAGGTTTGCGTATATTGTTGCACCGACCGCTGCGTTCGATTCGGTAGTTATCTACGAAAATTTTAATTGGAGAACGTATATAAATATTGCGTGTAACGCTCCTGCCAGATTAACGACATAATCTACTAGTTTCCGTGAAAGAATCAACGTTCCTTTTAGCTTAATTGTTCCAGCCTGCCTCGCTTGCTGTGCTAATACTATTAACTCCTTATAGTCTCAACCATTAGAAGGTGGTTCCGGCAGCAAGCATGATAAGGATACTCAGCATCTAGATAAAGACAATGGTGCGTTGCGTCGAAAGAAAATAAAGACGTCCGATTTTTTCGATTACCTTTTTCCCTTCAGTACTTTGCTAGAATTTACTTGTTTCTGTCACGTAACGGAAAGAAACAGGTCTGGCGCAAGGAAAAAATTAACAATTTATTTATTTATATTATTATAGTGAATTATATAGATATACGTTTATCAAAATATGTCATTTTAAAATTGAGATGATATTTTTCAATTGTTTTCTTCAAAGTTTTGGATTTTTTTGTACGTTATACGTATCGTATAACAATTATGACATAGTTTATGGTGACGCAATCTGTCACTTCTTTAATTGGCAATTGGAGTAAATCCGTGTAAAACTCGACGATCATTTAATATAGCGTCCACTGTGCTAACCGAACATGGTCACGTTTCCTCTAACAAGTTATCGACCAAGGGCTCCTTACTTGGAGTATGTCCAGCGTCAAGTCACTTCTTGAGACGTTCCAATTGTTCCAAGTTCCATTACTGTTCAGGTCAGACACGTGGAAGAGCTTGTAACTTGATTCGCCTTGGTCTTAAGCAATCTCTCCTTGGCTAGCGTATTCTTTTCCCGTTCGGGGGAAAAAAAAACGAACGTGTCATGATTCAAGACTGCACGTATTCTTGCGGGACTCGCGCGAGTTGCATGGAACTCTTAAACTTAACTGTACAAACAATATAATGGTGTAATTACAAAAACGCAATACGGCGGTAATTAACAAGAAATCGTACCACAACGTTAGAGTTAAATGAGATATCGTTTTTCGTGCTCGCCATTTGCATGCTGCGCGTCTCTCGGTTTTTATCGGGGGTTGCTATTTTCATGCTACAAACAAAACTTTTTTTTATCCGCAAATAAGATGGCTTTTATGAAAAATATCTTCATACAAATTTAAAATGTAGAGATATATTATAATTATAAATCGTAAAATGTTATTTAATATAATATGCAGTGAAAAATTTCTTTCTTTTCTCATAAAATTTATATTATTATACTTTATAATATTCATGTTATTGTACTTCATAATAAAAATGTTAAAAATACATTATCTGAAAAGCACTATCAGTCAGGTGAAAAAGAAATATTATGAAGAGAATACGAAACTTCTAAACGATAATTTAATCCAGCTGGTTAATTTAATTCAGCGTGCAAAAAAATAGCAATTATTATACATATTTTATATATAATATATAATAACTAAATAATATAAAATTACTGATGCCCGTGCGCACAAACACAGATGTAAAATCTTGATATTTTTTATTTTATTGAATAACATATTTGTAACATTTGTAATATTTTTGTAATTTTTTTATTTTACCGAGGTATTAACATTCATGAAATATTAATGAGCTCAAATATAATATTAATTTAAAATTTATAATACATATATTTTGATCTAGTAATTGTTTCGAAACTATACATACGAAATGTACACAAATGGCAATGATCGAGTGGGGACACGGATATCGATTAATGGAATGGAAAATTGATTACTACCGACCGGATAATTGATCACACAGATTGTAATAGGTCGGGAGCCGAGTTTCGCAAGAGCGAACGTATCAACCGATCGTTATTAATCTACAGGAATAAGGTGGAGCGTCTAATCTGTCCCTACCGCGGCTACGTTTACGGCGTAGATTTAATCTGCATTGGATTTAATTAAAATCAAGTGCTTCCATAGTAGCATACTCTCGTTGACAATTGCATGCAGATTGGATTAAGCTTGGAATTAGAACGGAGGGCGAATTCACGCTCCGCGTTAACCCGGGTGCTCGTTTGTCCATATTAATATTCGAATACGTGAAACTGGGACGAATCACGCCCATTGTAAACTTTTGCGATAGAGATTGTCAATAGTAGTAAGAGATAGTAATGAGCCCGGGTCGTTATCATTCTTCATGCGAAAAATACCTATAATTTATTTAATCACCTTGTCTCTCTCTCTTTCTATATATATTAGATTTATTAGATTGTATGTCAAAGCTGTTTTATAATTAAATAATATTTAATTATTTAATATTATTTAATTATAAAACAGCTTTGACATACAATCTAATAAATCTAATATATATATATATATATATATAAAGAGAGAGAGACGAGATGATTAAATAAATTATAGGTATTTTTCGCATGAAGAATGATAACGACCCGGGCTCATTACTATCTCTTATTATATTTAATTATTTAATATTAAATAATATTTATTATATTTATTATTTGATTGTTAAATTGTTAAATTTAAAATTATATTTAACTTAATAATTTTATGTCTTATTTCAATAATATGAATCTCTCTTTCTCTCTCTTTTCGCGCTCCTTATTTTAACTTTCTTTTTAAAAGATTTACGATGACATATCTGTGCCACTCACAAACTCATCACTTACATCATATATTTATATACAGTGATTGAAGTTTCCCAAACTCTCAAACTTTCACGATTTACCCGTATCTAATCGGAACTTTCATTTCTGTTGCAGATGTAGACGGCCACTGGTTTGGAAATCTTGGAGATTTCTCTCTTCCTCGCGCGCGCTTTCCTGCGCATATTTCCAACGTACGTGGGAGTACATTCGAAGTTTTCGCCGATAATCCGACTTAGCATCTGCCGCTTAACAAGGCGAGTATAATTATCGGAGATGCGAAGAAGACCGTTTCCTCGGTAGATATCCGCCTCGTTCCGGATAGCCTGTACGATTCTCAAGGTACGTATCTCGAGTCCGCCGTTCTCCTGATTGCATCCGCGTGTAACTGTGTCAGATATGGAGTGTCGTCCTTGTAACGTATCACACGATCGAATCTCCATCAAGATTCACTCAAATTTCTTTACGTTATCTACAAAATGATAAAATTAGATTGGCATCACTCATAGATAACAAAATCTGGAGATAAGAGATATTGATATAAGCATTTAATTAAATTAAACAAGGAATAGATTCGGATCTTTTAATATTCCTTAAAAATATAATTTTTTATTCTTGCCCGTCATATGAATTTTTTCGACGTATATAAAATATGTTAAGATATATCGACTCGGAGGACTTTCATAAAAGTGGATAAAGAATCGTGTGATATTTTACAATGAAAAATATTACCATTTTTTGTCCAGACTGCATTTTTGAGCCATGTGACGAACCGAGCTCTAAATGTAAAAAAAAGATATGTCACATTTATAAAAGAACATATGAAAAATGCATAACGCCGAAAGTATCGTTATGGTAATTTGCGGAATACGATGGTTTCCTACTATTTCGAATCTGCACGTGATCTGTACGTTACAAGTGTACGCACAATGCATATACATTCATTCATATATGCACATATATGCTCATTGTAATTACGGCTGTCCGTTAGATCGACGCGGAACGTCATTTTTTCATCTTGCTCTATTCATTTCCATCGCGTGTCGCTTTGATTTTGCCGATGGAGAAGTTTCCAATTTGATTCCAACTCGTGAGCAACTATAATAAGGATTCAATGCATAACTATAATAAGGATGATTCAATGCATAACGATAGCAGAAATTTGCAATGCTGATACGTATCGATAGCTTAACGTATGTTCTCGTTAATTATTACATAATAGAATAGTTGTGGAAATTTTGTTTGGCTTTTAATTAATCGCGATTGTCAATTCTTATTATTTGTTCATCTGTATTGATAATCATGCGTGAGCATATGGCGCTTATTATTATTATCGCGCGATTTACACAGAACGAGGAGAACGCATGATCGCTTCTGTATCTCAGCCACGTCGGCCGCCGGCCTTGAAAATTCTGGAGTTTATTTCTGCTCCACGTTTGAGTTACACATGGCGAGACTAACGACCTTTTAATTATTCACTTCTAATTGCGAATGTTACGTGTTACTGGAACGCATGCATTGTAGACATACGACGCGTGTTACGTTAGTTTTTATAATTGTCTACATTACCGTAGCATTTCGATACATGTAGTAGATTTTCAAATATGCATGCATTTATATTTTTTAAATGTAAATATTGCACAATTAAAATATAAATATTTTAGGGGAATAATATATATCACTTAATTTTTTGATAATAAAAAATTTTTTCGGTTGAAATATTAATATAATATTTTTAAAAAGGAGTGTTTATAATTATATATTTAAAATCCATAATTAAAATTATATTTACGTAAATTCGTTTACACAAGAAACTAATTTGATTGATGAATGTAAATATCGATTCTCTTTATAATTTAATTTCTGAAAACGTTATCCATGTTTATGATAATGGCAAGAATATGTATGACAATTTTCTGCCTTGATTTATAACGTCGACGTCATTGTGTAATCGATTTTATGATATGATTATAATTTCGGGCAATTTTACGATGCAGATGGTCTAGTTGAACTATCGTTTAAATCTTTTGGTCTGCGATAATTAAATCTATTCAATATTTCATGAACATCTGCATCTGATGGAATTAACTGTTAATTAATTTTCAATTTAGTTTTAATTTGTGTGAATAAAACGCAATTTTATTTGGATGGTGAATTATTAATACATGTTAATGATGTATTAAGGTGAGTGATGTATTAAGGTGAGTTATTTTATTTTGCGTATAATGTATTTAGCCAAACTTACGGTATATATTATTATTATTGTTGTTTATGCTTATTAAGTTATATTATGTTTTATAGTATTGCTCTGTCGAATTAACTTGCAATTGAGAACAATAATAGAGTAGAATGTGGAAATATAATCCTCTAATGACACTCTAATACAGAGCAAGGAATTATGTTTCGTATTAATTATTACGTGATTACAATATGGTAAATTATCATTTATAATTATGATTTATAATTATTATTGCGAAATAATGTTTACATTTAAATACATTAATGTTCAAATACTGGAGATGAATAAAGTGCGAATGATATAGCATATGAGTATAAATTGTACCATAATACAATATATATATATATATATATTTCATTTAAAAAAAAAATATATATATATAGGTAATGATATTCTTTAATAATATAAATAATAGGGAATTATATATAATTCATTAATGTAATTTTTCAAGTTGTATATGGCTTTATTTTCTGCTCATGTATGAAATGTTTACATTGGAACATTATTTTGTAAAGTCAATTTACCGGAAAAAGATCTGAATCGTTTCTAATTTCAAATTTAAATTAATCTCTCTCTTTTTATACGAAAAGGATTTAAATGGAAAGTACTTTTCAAGCGTGAAGTCATGACAGGAACAATGAGGCAGTGTGTGCGTACACACTTCTTTTCAACTGAATGCCATGACGGTGAGTGACCCGAGAGTGACGGAATTGTTCGCACTTTATTCCCCATTCCATTATACGTGATCGTTGAAATCTCATGCATCACAAAAGAACGATCGGCCAATGAATTTACCTTGCGCGCCTACGTATTACTAATTCATCATCCTTCAATGTGTTCCATTCCTCTTTCACGCGAAATTGCAAAAGTCCTAAATACATGCGTTTGAAATACAAGTAAATGTTAAGTTAAAAGAGAGAATTTTATTTTACATTGCGAAGCAGCTATTATTTTAAACAGAATTTCACTAAATAAAACGAAGAGCAATGCATACATTTGCAAAAATATTGTTTTATGCATTTATCCGATAGTTTCAATTTTTTGATATGTTTATATGATATTTTTAATCTTAATTACTCGTTTAATATATATTTTGATTCATCCCCGTAATTCATTCAAAGATATTCGTTTTATTTTTTGCATCTGTCATATTTTACTATCGAGCTTTTCAAGTATTTTTATTTATCCGTTCATCAATTTCGTGTCTCACTCGCGGAGGTGAAACACGAATAGGCGGGAGTGATTCCGACGAAATAGATGATAGAAACTTCGCTTCGTAGGTTTTGATTATTCGCCATCGTAAATTCACAGACAAACATGAATAACGCATCGTGATTTACATTCTGCGATAGTTTATCCAGGAGTGCCCCTACTCCACGGAAGACTTAACATTTTGATTATACCTTATATATCGAATAACATTTAATTTTCATTTGCATAATATGCATGTATCAGTGTGTAAATTTTCATTATTTATCTCAGTTTTCTTCTTTTTAAATCTAAGCGATCTAATACATTAACTGAGTTCATGCGATACATTTAATTTTATCTTATATATATTTTTAAATAAAATATATATATTAGATATATTTTAAATATATATATATATATATATATATATATATATATTATTAATCAATACTCTTAAATATTGAAATAAGAGAGAGAGACGTAAAAGTTGAAGAACCTTCGTTAACCTTCTTTCATGAAGTTAAATTCGTATATTTAACATAATTAAGTGCTAATTACTTTAACTTCAAATTTGTTGTTTCTATTTATTAACAGAAAATTGACATGAAAGATAGAGTTGCTAATTTTATATTTATGAGTTGCTAATTTTTATACTGGTACTTGATTTTTAAACAACATAAATATTAAATAGAAAAAAATATGTTAAAATTAATTGTTAATTAATTATTCAAAGATATCAATATATTTTAAAAATATTTACATTTTTATAGATATCCATTAATACAGGATATAATTAAAATTATACAACAATAAAGTGTTGAGGCACAAAAATCAAACGAAAGTAACGATATCATCTTAATATCAAATTGCTTCGCAATGTTATCAAAATATTCTAATTTGACAGATATTATTTGTGAAATAAAGTAAAAAAATAATTAAAAATAAAACTCTAATGTCCATATTGCCGCTAAAATAAACTATATTAATACAATTAATTGCTCTAGCTTGATTTTGAAATTGAGATGTAAAATCTAGAAATTAATCAATTCATTAATTGCATTAACGTAAATTAGTTTTGTAGCGAAATGGATGTTGGAAGTTTTCGATTAGTGTATAAGTATATTCCACCATGAATTTGGGATTAGAGGAGTAAATTCGCAATTAATTGTGCTGTACATTCGCATTTAGTTTCTCGTGGTGAGAGTGTGTGAAATTAACCGGAAATTAGAAAGGATTTTTAACAAGATATATGCAATCTTTCGGAGAAGATTGGAGCGAAATTAGGCAAAACTGAATAAAAAAAATGTCATGGGCAAGACAAGAATGTTTAATTTTCTTAAAAGCAACCGCACAATAAACCTCTCTTCATGTACTGCAGTCATGTTTTTCAATTAATAAACCGCGATATTGCTCGTGATGTATCGCCCAGGGCCACTCGTCGGTTTTATATCAGTTGTAACGTAGCGATAGAGCATACGGCTAATGACGTAGTTACATGTTTCAATCCGTTATTGCACCGTTATTTGATTAATACAAAGGACGCAATCGATGAAAACGCCTGCCGCGAGATTACGCGTAATAGCGGTGATGCAATTAAATATATTCCAAAGGCCCGTGCATGAAGAGAGCAATTTTCTGCAAAAGATGTAATAGTTGCGCAAAATATATAGCCGGGCGTTTCAATCCGTTATTGCAGCGCCATTTGATTAAGATAACAAATACGTGCAACAGACCGTCGCGAAAATACGGATGTAATAGCAGCGGCGTAATTAACATACACGAAGGAGAGATTTTGCACGAGAAAAAAATTATCCGTAATTGTTCTCGAATAGCCGATCGTGAAACTTGACGACATATCATCTGTATATAATTATATCATTTTATTGCGAGTGTAAAAAAAGTTTTAACGGAG